AAGAGAGATATTAACAATGTACTCATGTTCCTGTGTGTTTATGATCAGCTAATAGTATAGTGCCATTCTGGTACAGTTAGCTTATCCTTGTATCCAGTTAAGCCTTAGATATATGCAGGGGTGGGATTCAGCCAGTTTGGACTGGTTTGGGCAAACTGTTCATTACGGCCAGTGGCTGGGCCCACCCACCCATCCCGGCGCTATCCTGCCTTATACAATTGCCGTGTTTTTGATGTAGCGCGCATGTGCGTAAGGCACACATGCACATTTTCAATTCTGGGTGAACCGATTGTTAAATTATGTGAAGCCCACCTCTGGATATATGTAATGCAATACTAGAGTGATTTTTTTTTTTTAATCAAATTTCTATACAAATTCTATACAAATTTCTATATAATTCCATGCCACAAATTTATCTTGGATTATGTTCTTGAACCACAGCTTGAAAAGTTTTAGATACCAGATGGATTTCTCCCATTTTTGTCTCCTCATTTAATCCAGTTCTATCATATGTTGCTTTCTCTTTACAGTAAGCTTGACAGTAATATGGCACTTTTTTTTCTGGCTGTTGCACTGGCACCTCTTTGCAAGAACAATTCAGCTATTGTGTTGTACCACACTTTTCAAGTTCCATTAACGTAGTCTTGTTGAATACTATATTTCCCTTACCAGCTAGATCCTCAGTATAGGACTGCACCCTAAACACTTTAATAAAGACGCAGGTCTTTTTAAATTAGTTTCCTTAAGTAGAATCTTAGAAAGATTTAAAAATGAAAATTTCCCAGGATACTTGATGAATACATATCAGGTGAAAAGGTATCAGGTAAGAAAGATTCCTCTGTTCTGCATTACTAATATTATCGAAGACAAACAGGGAAGGAAATGATGACGTGCCACGCCTGAGCATTAGATAAAGACACCAAGTGACATGACAGATTGCACTGACATAGCTTTGCCCAAAGCTAACATGGGGGAGGCAATAGGCTGCATGGTAAGCCTTTGATCCTAAGAACAGAAGTTCTTGATATCTGCCAACTTGAAATTTCAATGTCTCCAAGCCCCAGCATGCAATATAGCCAGTTGGTTCTCACCTTTAACACAAGGGTGGATTTGGCTAAAATATCTTTTAAATCATTTGTCATTTGTAAAAAAGAACAGCACAGCATTCAGGTAAGTATAGACCAGTGTGATGTCATTTAAAATAGAGAGTATTTGTATATGGTTAATAGCTGAGCTACTTGTGGTGCCACCCATCTCCCATTAGTTCTGCTTGTCCCATCCAATCAGACAGAGTTGGCAGGTCCTGTCTATCAAGCATTGCTATGTGATGTGACCCAGGAAATGTGCATTCTTTGTTGCAGCACCTCTCCTGATTAGCCCTGTTATGTATTGGGCAGCCATACAAATCAAATGATTGAATAAGTAGAATTCCCTGAAGTTAGAACAGACATCTAATTTATAATTTAAAATGTTCAACTGTGTTTTAAAATTTCATACAATTATTTTTACTTCAGATTATGTGAAACAATTTCTATATCATTTGCGCACTGATACTAATCTTCTGAAATTCTATTTAATCATTAAAAAATAAACAGTGTGTGATGAGTAAGCGAGAGATTTGCAAGCTGTTTGACATAATATGTGATGAAAACTGCTATTTCCATAAACACCAAATAGAAAAGATATTATTAGTTTCCTCCATCTAGCAGAAAAGGATTTCAATGATGTTGAATTACCTGTCTAGTATCCACCCCTTGCCCTTTGCTTTCTTTTCTATTACGCATTATCATCCTGATGATCTTTGCCTGTTCCTCCTCCTCTCTTGTTCCTGTTCAAATGTCCTAAGGCACTATAATGCCTTAGGAACTCTGCTGAACTAAAAAAATACTGGAACCTTGGATCTCTCAGATCTGCTTGGACTGTCCTAGTTGTTTTGTACGAACACATAGGTATTTTATTGGGAATGAAGGCAAACATATGTGTCTCAAGGATAATGTTGCAGGATCTGATCTGAGTTGGTCACTGAAACCAAAAGTTTATTGTTTATTGTTTCAAACTTTTGGGCTCATGCTGAAGCATATGAAGAGAACATATTCTGGAGAAAGAGAAATTCCCTGATGATGGGCTCCACAGCATGAGCCTGAAAGCTTGGAAGAATAAATTTGGTCCCAGTGACCAACTGAAGATTAGATCCTGCAACATATTTTATTCTAAATGAGAAAGCTTGTTATCTTTAAAAAACAAAATTTGCAGATATGAAACCTATAAATAAACTTACTTAATGCAGTTTCACTACCACTTAAACATACTTACGTTGTCATAATTAACATAATTTAAGAGTTGTATAAAAGTATTTTTAAAAATGCATTCTTAAAGTGTATACTAATTTTGAAAGGCTTTTCTTGGCAGCAATCAAAATTTCTGGCATACTGTCAAAACCTTTAAAAAGACATTCAAATTTAAACATTTATAATTGTTCGGTATCTAGGAAACACTATATATATGATAAAAATAGAAAGAAAGAAAAAGAAAGAAAGGAAGGATGGAAGGAAGGAAGATGAAAAGCAGAAATTACTTGCCAATTTATATTTGCTTCCAATTCCAATTCTTCCACACATTTTGTCAAACGAGAATGTACAATGTTAAAGTAAGGTAAATTTTCTGCTACCACATATTACATACTTGTGGGTGGGGAAGAAATTGGCATAATCATTAGTGATTGCACAGCTATGGGAGTATTAGACTGATTAGTCTGAATAAGCAAGTGTATTCTTAGATGTGTTCATGGAACTGGGTCACTGTGCTTTTTGAGAATGTGTATAATTTTTGTATGGATGCATAATTGGAAAAATTATTCCACGGAAAACGATTAGTTTAGTATTCCTCATCCCAGGATTGTTTTGGTGATACTAAAGCCATTTATTTGTAAAAATTACACAAAAGGCATTTTATTTTTATCATGGAGGTGATTAGAACTGAATTTAAGAAGGAAAAACTCTAATGGTTGTACAAATGAAAGGATGGGATTCTAAGAATATGCCCTCATCTAGAAGAATACCTAGTCAGTGAAAATTTGCATGATTCATGTTAGAATGAGAACAGTAACAGAGATCAACCTAGTACCAATTATTTAAAATATATATACTATGTTTAACTCTTGTAACCTCACTTTGTTGTTTCATGTAACTTTTTCCCTCCGTCAACTTTTAAAAAATGATCTTTTTAGTTTGTAAATTGGATGATGACTAGAGGTACTCCTCAATTTACACCCGCAATTGAACCCAATTTTTCTGTTGCTAAGTGAGACATTTGTTAAGTGAGTTTTGCCCCATTTTACGACCTTGCTTGCCACAATTGTTAAGTGAATCACTGCAGTTGTTAAGTTAGTAACACTATTGTTAAGTGAATCTGGCTTCTCCACTGAAGCCAGTCGAGAACTTGCTTGTCAGAAGGTTACAAAATGTGATCTCATGATCCCTGGACACAGCAGCCGTCATAAATATGAGTTAGTTGCCAAGCATCTGAATTTTGATCCTGTGACCATGGGGATGCTGCAATAGTCTTAAGTGTGAAAAACAATCATAAATAACTTTTTTTCAATGCCCTTGTAACTTCAAACAGACACCAAATGAACTGTTCTTAAGTCGACCACTACCTGTGCTATATTTTCATTTTTTTCTGATGTAAGTTATCTAATAAATTTTTTTTGTTAGGAAAGTGAAATAGAAAGACAGTAAATAAACAAATTATTTGAATGCTAAATAAACAATTATTGGGATGCTATGGGAATTTGGAAGTTGGAAAAATTCTAATAGGTATTTATTCTGGCTTTCCGGATCCCAAACCTGTGTAATGCAGAGCAGGCACATAAAGATAGTCCTGATTTCTCTGAATGTTTGAATTATATGTTTATTAAGAAAACACATCTGTCACATCCTTAAATATTAATGGAGCCCAAGCAATTAGACAAGGTGAGCACATTTTTCAGTTTGTCCTCCTAAATCTAGTATAAGATATAAAAACCAGCATATAGATACAAACAAAAGCCCTAATTTATTCAGGTGAAAGTATAGAAAGAAAAATATCTTTAATTGTGAATGCAAAGGAAAGGGTCTAAAGAATTTTAAGGAAAAAAACCCTCTTATATTTACAGGATACTTAATACCTGCAGTTTTCAAGTATCTTTATCCTACTATTAATTTGACTATGTGTCATTTTTATATTTTTGAATTCTAGGTATATTTAATTTAATAGGGTCTCCACTTTAGATTTTAAAAAAATGCTGTAACACCAAGAGCCAGCCTTGCTATTGGGGGAGGGGGGCAGCTCAAGTTCTTCAAGGATGCTCATCACAAATCCTTGATAGGACACTGATGGTTCTGTGTTGCTTTTATTATTAATTTGTACCATGAACTATCTGAGCAAGATTTTGTTATATTCAGCATTGTGAAAATCTAAAATGTATGGAACGGAGCCTTTGCCACATCTAAAACGACAGTATTCTTCACTAAATGGATTCGTCTGTTTTAAACCATTTTTTTGTTTTTTTTTTCCTATGATCTTCACTGTAAATTTAGATTGTAAACAAATTGGTAGATCGGTCCTCTCAAGATTGGTAAAAAAAAATTATTATTTTTTTGGAAAGCCAAGAAAAACCACAATGGAGCAAATCTCCCCGATGGTTGTTAAGGCGTTTTAAAATATTCAAACCGCCTCGCCTATTGTTACCTCACATACTGCCCTAGAAACATTACAACATTGCACCACCTCCTTCCCGCAACGTATTTCACCCGGAAAAGTCTATATATGGCTCGTCGGGCGCGCAGGTGAGTCCTCGTCTCTCTGTTGCACAAACCCCGCCCGTCGGCCGCTCCTAGTTTCGTGCAGGTGGCTTTGTGAGCTATAAGAGCTCGGAGCCAACGAGATTCGCGGGTTCACCTTCGGAGGAGCGGAAGTAGTGGGGATACGAGCGGCGCAGGTGCTGAGGCGAAGTGCGTTGCGTGCGTGGGAAACCAGGTGTAACCTGAGGAGGCGGGCGCGGCCGGCCGAAAGGAGCTCAGTTTTCCTGCGGAACTTGCTGAGCAGCTTGAGAGAAGAGGGGGAAGAAGAAAGGGTGAAGTGAAGACACGGAGACCGGAGCGTCGCCCGCACCTATTTGCCTTGCCGTCTACCTGCTTTCTGACATCGCGGACGATGGGATTTCTTTCTAGGGCTGCTTTCCTTCTGGGAGCGCTTTTGGCGCTCGCCGCTACGGTGTGGAGCCAAGGTTTGTCTTCCCTCGGCGGGTTTTCCCGACTTTTATTTTCCAGTTCCTGGTGTTCGTGCGTGCGAGGGCAGCGGCTTGTGGAAGAGGAATCCCGCACAAAATGGCACCTCTTCGAGATTCCCGGCCTTCACGTGGAGGAAGGGGGCAGCTCGCTTTTATGTCGGTGGATAGGAACAGAGGTGGCCGGGCTTTCTTGGCCGCGACTTCTGGGGCGGGCTGGAGCCAGTTAGAAGCAGCCTGTCCCTGGAGACTCCCGGAGAGTTGGAGGCGGACGCGTGGAGCCAACGCCCTTTAGAGCCATGGCGCTCAGGCAGCTCCAGCCGTCCCTGGAGGGCAGGCCGATTTGGAGTTCCCAGACTTTCCTTCGGCACGAAACTTTCCGTGTCGCTTTTCTCAGAGGGATGGAAACTTTCTGTCCTAAATCATTTAAAATTCGTTTTAGAATCATCTTAAGAAATTAACATCATAAACTTAAACTTAAACATCATAAACTTAATTTCCTTTATGGTTTTACTCGCAAAAATAAACGGGCAGAACTCTTAACATGCTTAATTTTAATTTTTTTAAAAAAATACCTGCGTTTAGTTTAATGTGAATAGACAAAATGTCCCATGTACCAATAACATTAGATGTAGATCAGTGGCAACTCCATTTTAACTCCCAGCTAAAATGGAAGGTTCTGTATCGTTTTCTGGTTTGTAAAGCCTTGAATATAGTAGCTTTGCATTATCTGAGCTCTTCTAAAGTTTTCTTAGGGTGTTTCTCTACTTTTGTGTTGAAATTCCAGCCGTTCATCTTAAATTGGTACAAAGCTATACTGGTTTGCTGTACAGTTGGTACAAAGCTATACTGGTTTGCTGTAAAGTTTGCTGTCCTCATTTTTGATCGTTTGGGTCTCTGTTTTAAGCTGCTGGAGTCATCTGACTTCTCTCCAAGGTAATAGACAACAAGTCTAGAAGCTTTTATACAACTTGAGTCTGCCCTTGGAGTCAAAATAAGGGGTGAAGTACTGTTTTAATACCCGTGCAGCTGACAATGCTGTTTCATTCATGGTTTGGGGAGAATATGAAAGCAGAGTCCAAGGCAGAATAAGGCAGGGCATGCTTGTGCCATGCTTGAATGAGAGTGGAAAAATATCTTTAAGTATATAAATGATTGAAAAGTAAATGGTTCCTGCCTAACCTTGTCAGAACTTGGAAACAAAGTGGGATTGTCCAGTTAATGCTTAGATAACCAGAGAATATTAGGGTTACAGGCTCAATCATGAAGTCGCAAAATCTCCCAGAAGAAAGCACTTTTGCATAGTTGAGAAAGTATGGTTGTGATTACATAGTTATAGTCAAGTACAACATGGATTGTCTTTTTTTTATGATTGAAAAGTAACCTGTAGAAACCACAATTGCTTTGTCCCCCCCCCCCCCCCCCCCCGCCACACACAAAGGATTTTTTCCCCCTAATTTTCATTTGATCATACACAAGTTCTTACCAAATTGTAACAACTTGTTTTGGTTTCATATATGTCCAAAATGAATGTACTTTTCTAGAGTACATTTTCTAGAGCTGATTGTCAGGAAATTAAACTCTGGTTTTAAAAGGAAGTAAGACTGCTAATCCCTGTTAAACACTAAAATGCACTTTGCTGTTGCTTCCCAGGTAATTTTTTTCACTGAAGTGGGTGGAGATACTTGGAAGTTTATAGCTGGGTTTTTTTTGGTACTACCGTGTTTTCCCAAACATAAGACCCTGTCTTATATTTTTTTGAATCCTGAAATAAGTGCTTGGCCTTATTGCCATGCGCTCAAAAGCCCAATTTGGGCTTATTATCAGGGAATGTCTTATTTTGGGGGAAACAGGGTACTTTAATGGGGAAAAGCTATGGTACATTTGAGAATGAGGTTCACCTATACTGTACTACTAGTTTATTTTTGCAGAACCAGGGCTCTGATCTTAGTCTGAAGTGTGTAGAGATAACAGTTACTCTTCAGAAGAGGTCTACAGAATAAATGTTTAAAAGTAGCAGCTTTGGCAATCGCTGAGACCTATGATTTGAATTAGAATTATATTTTTAACTGAAATAATATCAAAATATTTTTGAGATTTTTTTCCTGTGTTTATTATTGAAAGATATCTATAATGATGAATATGTTACATAAAAATGTTATCTAGAATATCAGTAAGCGTATACGTGCTCTGCTTTAAAGCCAACTCAAGAATCTTTATGGAATTGCAATATAGAGAAAATTTCAGATATGGTATTAGCTATTACAGAGTTAGAATTCCAAATACAGTAATTTGAATTTTCTGTTAGCAAAGGAATCTTTTCCTGAAGAAGGATGATTTCGCAGGTATCTACTACAAAAAAATAGAAATAGTTATCTATTTGGTACAGAATACAAAGGACTATTTTGTAATAATTTGGTTTGAATATTACAGATGGATGTAGCTGTGAGATGAACAAACGGACAACAAATTGTTCTATTGCTAATGGTATATGCCAGTGTAAATCAATTGGACTTGATATCACAGTGAACTGTCGGACATGTAAGTATAAGAACTGAACAAATTCCACTACACTTTCCATTGCTTTCTGACAAAAGTATTGTATTTAAGTTAACAAGATTTAAGTTAACAAGTTACTCTTTTACTGTTTTTATTATCTTTTAGTGACTTCAAAATGCCTATTGATGAAAGCAGAAGTGACTGGCTTAAAATCAGGTAGAAGTCAAAGACCAGCAGAAGCATATGTAGACAATGATGGCATATATGATCCAGAATGTGATGCAAAGGGCAACTTCAAACCTAAACAGTGCAATGGAACAAAGACTTGCTGGTGTGTGAACAGTGCTGGAGTACGAAGAACTGACAAAAGTGATCAAAATATTACATGCCAAGAAGTAGTAAGGACAAGGTAAACCACCTGATTTAAAATTGAATTTATTTTGAGATCTATATGTTGTACCATTTTACTTTAAGGTTAAAACATCAATTACTAACATTTTAATGGTTTATACTGACAAGTTTATCATTAACAAATTAAGACCAAAAATTAGAAATGTACAAGTTGAGTGTCCTATTTCTTGTGAATAATGTTCAGAGTAATCGAGCAAAATGTTTTATATTTTATTTTTAGCTGGATTATTATTGAAGCAAAGTATCTTGACAATAATGCAGGCTCAGGCAAAGATTCTATTGAAAGGTATGTCTTGGTAATTATCACTGTCTACTTAAGTGCAGCAATTTAATAGATGAAATGTTTTTCACAATGTAATTGAAAAAATGTTTTGCACAATGTGCTGTGCATGATTCCTAAATACAAGATTGTGATGTCTTACACCAAAACAAGAGAATCATAAAAATATAATTAGTTGTCTGTCTTTCATTATTCAAACCTTTTGTGTCTAATAAATCATAGAATAAGCCGGATTCAGATACTATATACTTTTTCCTGGCTCATTTACCTAACCTTGCAAAGTAATAGACAAAACATGAGCAAATGGATTTCTTTTGCTAATTTTGTTAATGTTCTGGTTTACTAAACCATAGCTCATGTATTGAAGTATAAAATAACCAGCAAGTTGCTCAAAACTATTATCCAGTTAGTTTTCATAGGGGGAAAGTGATGGAGGGATTGATGGGGGTTTCAGTACTAAATTGTGTCATAAAGATCTTTATGTTTCTAAGAGTTTCTAATTTATTTCCTTAATTCCCAGTACTATTGGAAAAAACTTTAAGGACCGTTACCTTTTGGATGAAAAGCATGTAAAAGTTAAAGTACGTATAATAGTTATTGGATATTTTCATGGGAAAGATTATTTTGGGTTATCTTTCATGGGGGCATATAAATTTTACTTTTGAAGGTTTAGAATCTACCCTGATTAAAGGTGCAATGTCTGTTTTAAATATGTAATTGACTATATCAAGACCTCATCTAAAATATTTTGTTAATTTAATTCAAATTTTGAACTATTTATCAAGTAGGTTTAAAAAGCCTGGTTAACTACTGAAAAATAAAACAGAAAAATTATGTTTAAACTTGATATGTGATCTTTTTATGTGAAGATAGTATTTTTTTTTCTTTCAGTATGTGGAACCTTTAATTAGTGTCCATCTCAAACAAAATGCTTCAGAAAAAGGAAATACTGATGTGGATATAGCTGATGTAGCATACTATTTTGAGAAAGATGTAAGTATGTGGAGTTTTTAAAGGAAAGTAAAGTGGAATTATTGGCATGAATTTGTGTTGTATTTCAATAGTTTGTATTTTTTTAAAAAAAAAACACTGAATAATTCATGTTCCTGGTCTTTCAGGTCAAAGGAGACACAATTTTTAATGCAGAATATGGAATGAATGTTGCAAGTAAACCTCTTCGATTTGAGAACACAGTAATATATTATGTTGATGAAAAAGCACCAGAGTTTTCGATGAAACGTTTGACTCCTGGAGTTATTGCTGTAATTGTGGTTGTAGTCCTGGCAATAGTGGCTGGTATTCTTGTACTGGTACGTTTTTCTTATTTAGAAGATCTTAATTCTGATGTTCAAATAAAAAGTATCCTAGAGTAGATAAACATAGAACCTACTATTTTAGACAACTCTTCAACTTTCCGTTTCTCTCCTGGGCCATTATAATTCAGCCAGTCCATGATAAACCATAAATGCTGTATTGTTAAAATTGAAGATTATAAACAAAAGAAATAGAATAGCTACTTAAGATTCTCTAAAGCTGAATATCAAAACCCTCAGATGTGTCATTGACTTATTCACCTCTATAGATATTGATGGAAGAAACTATTGATGGGTATGTTGCCTATTAGATATCATTATATCTAAAATTAATACAGGTAGTCCTCAACTTATAACCACAATTGAACCCGAAATTTCTCTTGCTAAGCGAAACAGTTAAGCAAAGTTTCCTCCATTTTATATTTTTTGCCACAGTTAAGTGAATCATTGCAGTTAGTTAGTAACGTGGTTGTTAAATGAAACTGGCTTGTCCATTGACTTGGCTTGCCAGGTCATGAAAGTGATCACATGACCCTGGAACACTGCAATTGCCATAAATATGAACCAGTTGCCAAGCATCTGAATTTTGATGACGTGACCATGGGGATGCTGCAACGGTCATAGGTGTGAAAAATGGTTATAAGCCACTTTTTCAGGGCTGTTGTAACTTTGAACAGTCACTAAATGAATGGTTGTAAATCGAGGACTACCTGTATGGCATTCTTATGGGGTAGTAATGTTTGAAAGTAATAGCCAGTCTGGACAAATAAAGATGTAAGATAAATTTATGATAAGTTTTAAAAAGTTTTCACTACAATTCTGTCTCTTATGGTGATATAACATTCCTGCCATAGAAGCTAAAATTATAGGAGCTGTCAAGGGGACTTGAACATTTCTACTTAAAGTGCCAGCCAGCAAAAAATATGCTTGTTTCATATGCTATGATTCTTTATAACATTGGGGTGGATGAGGTATTATGCAATGTGTAATTTTATTTTAACCGTGTTATATTTTAGTTTTGTATCTTCCTAATTATTTTAACAGATTTTATATTACAATTGATCGCTGTGGTTCAGATCTCTCTCGTTCAGAACTCACAAAAGGTTCAGGGAATCTGATGTCCTCAGTATTTTGTAAAATTATTCCTGACTGCTGAACTAACAGTTTATCCATGAAACATTTAAACTACCTCAGTGGGAGTTCAGAACATCTAGAAATCACCAGATGATCCATCTCTTAGCCTACACTGACTAGTAGTGCAGTAACCCTCCAAAGATTCAGATCTGTTCCCACTCTTCAAAGTTAGCAGAGGCTTTAAGTGAAAAACTGTTGCACATAATATTAACCCGTAATAGCATAAATAGGAGAGCTGAAGACTGCACGTTTCATGAGTAACACGGAATGGTTTTATCGGTGACTGCAATAGGTCATATGGATAATAGGCATCAATAGTTTCTGGATTATTGTGTCTGTGTTCTGTTAAATTGGATTCTTGAATGTGTTGGAATAGAAAAATACCTGAGCTGTTTTGTTTTCTCCATGCAGATATTTACGCGAAGAAAGAGGGGCAAGTATGAAAAAGCTGAGGTAACTATTTAAATAGAAATCTGTCTTTTTAATTTTTAAAACTATGATACAAATGTTATATATGTTTAATTACAAATAGTTCTTAAGACCCCTGGAATCTCAGTTGTTCACACAGCAACTGACATTCCAGCACTTCCTGTCATGGTTAAGTGATCTTACTGGTTGTTAGCTGGACAGAGAGAATGCCAGATAAAGAGCACAGGATGCCTTGAGGTGGGGGAGGCCCTAATGGGCCTAGGACAGGCTGCATGCAAGTTGGAGAAGAGTCTTGCTTGGATTTTTGGCCCCTGAGCGAGGAGACTTGCCTTTTTGTTCAAGCACTGCAAATCCCTTCATGCTGAAAGCCAGGCAAGACTTTCAGCCACTGAGTGGAGAAACAGTCTCTTTGCTTGTTGGATGAAAATCACTTGGATTTTAACATGGATGGGGATTTTCAGCCTGCCGATGAAGAGACTTGCTTCTCTACCTGAAGACTGAACATACTGCTTAGATTTTGGCATGGATCTTTTTTAGCCAGTCTTCAGAGAGGGAGTCTTCTTGGCATATGGCAGTAACTTTTAACTTTCCCTGCAGGCTTCCCAATTGACTTCTGGGGGAGCTGACAGGAAAGATTCCATATGACAATCATCTGATCTCAGGGTGCTTTTCAACTTGTTGTAAGTGCAAACAAGTTGCCAAGTACCCCAGATCTCAATCATGTGACTACGGGGGCACTGCAACAGCTATAACCTCAGTCATGATCATAAATTGCTTTGTTTTGCAGTGTTGTAATTTTAAAGTTTATTTATTTATTTATTGAATTTGTATACCGCCCTACTCCTGAAGGACTCAGGGCGGTGAACAGCCAGATAAAACACATATAATACAAATGTTAAAAAGCATTAAAATACAATTAAATAATTTGGCCCGAAAAACGAAATTTAAAACACCCCAAATTCTTAAGACAAATTTAAAAATTTTAAAAAGTTTAAAAGAGAGGTTAGGCCAGGCCGGCCTGTTGAAAAAGAAATGTTTTGCTGAATAAATGGTTATACGTGGTGGACTACTGTAAAGATATAAACTAGCTTTAATAGTTAAGAATATTTCAGTAAGAATTCTGTAGTGGAACAGTTACTGTAGCAGTCTTAAAATCTGTTTTTTATTCAGACTGGGTTTGCAAACATGAGTTAAATTGCATATACTTAATAATGTAAAATTGAAGATAGTATGTATTCATATTTACTTGCACAATTATGGCATAGAAAAAGTTGTCCACATCAGAGACAGATTAGTATTCTTTGTACTGGCAGAAATTATTAAAAAAGCAGCTCATTAAGAAATAACTTTTTCTGTCTTTAGGTAAAGGAAATGAATGAAATGCACAGAGAACTAAACTCGTAACATATGTAACATGAAATGAAAGGAAGACTGGTAAATGAATGAAATTTGACATAAGAGAATATCATGGACTGCTACTTTGTAAAAAAAAATGTCTGAATCTTTAAGCAATCTTTCTACTAAACTGGCATATTACTGCATTTTGAAGCTATAAAGATTCTATTAAAAGTCATAATTAGTCTAAACAGATCAGTGGCATTCCTTTGTCACTATTTCTGATGTAACTTAGTAATGTCCTTTTGGATGTCTTGAAGTATCTGATAATTTTTATGTCTAGGCTGCCAAGTTACTCTTTTGAATACAAGAGTGTATGTTTGTATATATTCACATTTAATCATTTTTTTACACACAGTGAATTTTAATAAAGTTATAAATGTATATAGCAGTTCTTTCTTGGTATTAAGATTTGCTTGCACGGGATTCTTCCAAATACAAAGAGTCCTCGATTTACAACTGTTTGTCTGACAGATTTGAATGAAGAGACTTATGATTGTGGTTACAGCCATTGCAGCAACCTCACAATCACATGATCAAAATTTGGCACTTTGCAATCTGTCTGCACTTACGATGGCAGTGGCGTTGCAGCTCCCCATCTATCCCTCCTCCTTGCCTTTTGGACTTGCTGCACTCCACAGCCCTTGTTGACCTTTCCTGTCTTCTTGCTCCTTTACCAACCAAGAGTGCCATCCTGACTTTTTGGGAAGCAGCTGCACCTGGCCTTCCTGCCCAAATGCCCAGGAAGCTCCAGTGGCATTAGCGCAAAGCAGCTACCTCATGAAGTGCTAAACACGTAGAAAGCATCCACAACGGAGTGAAAAACAGCCACCCTGCAGGAAGTGCAACATACCCGGGAAGCTCTAACGATGCAGCAGAAAGAGAAACGGTAGTCTCCTGCTTTATTTGCGAGCCTACATGGAAAGTGGTTTTGCCTCTTATCTTTTTGTAGCTCAAAAGATAAGTATCTAGGCAAGTATAAAGGTTAACAGCAGCATGTTATATAGGGTTGGCAAAAGCTGCAACTACAGTATTCTTTGTTAATTATTAAACTAAGAATATTATTCTTTCTATGATACAGAAAGCCATGTCAGGGCTTGTGCTGCAGAGTTCAAAGTACCCAGATTACTTTTAATATACAGCTCTTCTAAGTGCACGGTATTTATTTTTATTGACATGGGCTGGATGAGAGAGAGCAAGTTGAAATCAAATAGGTAAAATGAAAGTGCTACTGGTATATAAAAAACTGCTATTGGAGTTGAGATTCAGATTGTTTTACATAGTAGTGGTAAAGCTCTAGGGTACTGATCGTTACCACTGGATAGTAAGGAATAGTAGAGGGGGGTATAGTCAGCATATTGAAAGTTTCTTAATTCAAAGTGTTGGAATGATTTTCCTCCATCAATTTTGGTAGATGGTAAAAAGCATGAGACCCAAAATGGAAACGTTTGGGACATTATAGATCAACAGCCTATATAGAACAAAAGTTCCTCAACATCACCTTTTGGGGGTATAGCCTGACAGGAAACATTGGAGCCATTATAAAACATTCTTCCTAAGGACCAATTTTGGGAGTGGTTCAAAGGATCCGCTCAAATGGTTGATGGTATTTATTGAAAGCTGCCAAGAAATGCAGGAAAACTACCAGAGCCACACTCGTCTCTCATCAGTTTTTGACAAAAGCCATTTGCTAAAAGTACCAAGGCAGAGGCCAAGAGTCTCTGACTGAAATGGGAAAAAAAAAAAAAAAAGATAATTCAGGCGAATTTGGAGCTGCAAAGTTACTTCCCTATAAGTAATTGAATATTTGGGACTGGCCTACAATTATACAGAATCTCAATCAACTAATATCAATATTAGTTTTATTTCTCCTTTAGGTAGTTCACTGTAATGGCTAGGCTCGCAACTGGGAGACTGAGTTCTGATCCAGCCTTAGGCACAAAGTCAGCCTTGGGCGAGTCACTCTTTCTCAACCATAGGAAAGAAGCAATGGTAAACCTGAAGAATTTTGCCAAAAAAATTGGAAAGACTATTCCATGCAGTTGTCTGGAGTCAAAAGCTGACTCAAAGGCACATACTGCGCGCGCGCGCGCACACACACACACACACACACACACACACACACACACACACATAATGGAACACATCCTGATCACCTCTCTTAACTCCGGAGCCAGTTCCATCTTTAGCAGATTTAGTGAGCCAGTAGCAGATGCATCTCTCATACATCTTATCAATATTTAAAAGAATCATAAGTAATAGGACAAACTTGCCAAATTTACATCATGTATTCTACCAATATGGAGTTCAAATCAAGATGGCTATAATAAACTGATCCAATAAATTTTAATAAATTGTTGACAATTTATTAAATCAATTTATATAGTTGCCCATCTTGTAAATAGCTGTTTCTTTGCAGTTTTGAACAACTAACACCCATTAAAAACACTAACAAAGAGACAAATCACACTGGTCACCAAGAATAAATCTGGAAGAAACAATGCAAACCTGTCAATGGTCTTCTAAATTCCTAGATCCTAAACTATGAAACATTCCAGTCTTCAACAGTTTGCAAAAGGTCAGAAGGGTAGGATTAATTTAGTCCTGAAGGATGTGATTCTCCAGAGGCCAAGTGCTGTGGCAGAAAAAGCATACATTGTAGAAGTTTAGCACACACCCATCTCCTAGAAGAATGAAATATTTGAGAAATATTAAAAAGGCAGAATATTATATTTCCCTGGATGAGAAATTGAGAAATGTGCTCTTGGAGACAGAAAGCACTCCCTATCTTCCTTAATAGCCCACAGCAGATGTCAGCATTTAAGAGATAAAGAGATAGCTTAGCTCTATTCATAGGCAAAAATTCCCTGCAGCAAGATCTGAACAAAGGTAGGATTAGCCCTCAGCCACAATAGGAATTGCCCAAGAAGCCCCTTCATTGCATCAGCCAAAGTTCAACCAAACTTAAGCTCAAATTCCTAGGATTTGTACATGGCCCTATAGGAGTCTGACAACAGCCAATAGAATACATGTTCTTGCACAGGAACAGGAAGTTCAAGTGCAAAGCCCAAGAGAAGGTATAAACACCTCCACTCTCAATTCCATTTAGTCAGCTGCCCAGAATCCATGTGGTTCTGCTTCATCATTAAACCCTTTTTCCAATCAGCCTCCAGCCTCTATTTTGTCTCCAGTGCCTTTCTCCAGGCTTGGAACTGAATCAGATGGGTATTTCTTCCAACACCATTAGATGACATTCTTTAATTGGGGAATCTGGAGTTTCTTACAGGACTTAGTGGCATGGGTAAAAACAACCGGGGAGGTTGTTCTACAAATAATCCAACTTCATGCTATGGAGAACTTTCTAGATGACAACCAACAACTTGCGGTCCTCTAGGAAGTATATTGGGAGCTAATGCAGATCACAGAGCCTACCTATACCATATAGTGTACCTGGGTGTACCTATAGTGATCTGTGCCACTGCATTTTGGACGATCTGCAGTGTTTAGATGGCCTTCAAGAGCAGCTGGATGAAGCAAATGTTGCAGTAATCCACTTGATAAGGATAGAATCATAGTAATGATTAGAGCTCCTACAATGAGCCACCTCATTGTAAGAGTTTGTCCAGCCCTCACTCCACATCTTTGTCAAGCACCTGCAGAATACTATATCAAAAAAATCCCATCTTCAGCCAGTCCTTATCTTCTTCATCCTCTCAAGGTTATGTTTTTCTTTTCCTTTTCCTTTTCCTTTTCCTTTCTCACTTGCACCTCTCAACATTTCCTTCTGCCTGTAGATGTCACTGTTGCTTTGCTTCTCTCCCTTTTCTTCTTTTTTATTTTATATTGAATTATCCAGTCCAAGTTTTTCAAAAAAAGGTTCTCTAAGTCCAAATTTTATAGTCCCCAAAAATGTCCAAGTTAGTTAATATTCTATTTGAGGTCCCCAGTCCAGCTTCCTAGTTTCAAAGTTCTTTCATTCTTTTAAAAAGTTCTCGTCTTTCTTTCCAGTTTTAAAAATGGCTCTCAGGCTTGCTTGATGCTGTTTTGGGAGGTGAAGGGAAAACAATTCCACCGTCTTCTTTTTGGGTCCCACTTTCACCCAGGCTAATTTCCAGGGGGCTCGTTTCTCAATAGAAGTTAGGAGTTAGAAATCTCTCGCCCAGATCGTTCACACTGCTCCTCAGTCTTTCACACTTTCTTCATCAGTCGGCTGTCACAGCTTCAGTCAGGCACGCAATGGCCCTCTTTTTCTTCCTGCCGGATTGAGAGCCTTTTCTGGATCATTGAGGGAGATTGCAGACTTCCTGAGATCGACAGAGTTTGGTCTCTTACTTCATCACCCCTTTGAGGTGATTTAGGTCCATCCGAACCTCCTTGCAGCTTGAATTTCAGTGTGATCCCACAGAGCCCCGTGGAGATGTGTCGTGTTGCTGCGATATCAGCCCCACCTGCATCAATAAGCTGTTCGTGTTAGATAGCTGAGACAGAGAGTAAAACACTGAGACTTTTTAAAATATTGCAGCTCTTGGAACTTAAGTCACTGTTTTTTTTAATTGTAATCCCAGAGGAGCATAAATATAATCCACAAAAAAGAAGTGAGACTGTTAATTATAATCCAAGAGGAAAGCAAAAATATAATTAACAGTGTAACTTCTTCTTTTTTGTGGACTATTTTGTGGCTCCTCTGGGATTACAACAAAAAAAAACAACAGACTTTTTTTGGAGATTGAAGATAAGAAGGAAGAAGAAAAAGGGATAATGTAACATTGAATACTCTGACTCCTCAATAGCTTTGTAAAAGGAGAAATTGGAAGGAGATAGTGAACTTGGTGGTCAATACTGGGGCTGATGGGGTATTGTAGTTATTATTTTCAATAATTGGTTTAAAAATATTAAAGTATCACAAAATAAAGAAAACTATATCTGCGCCATCCTGAGCATCATCATCATCATCATCTAGTCCAGCAGGTCAAAAGTCATTGGACGTTATGTTGCAGCAAGAGAAAATGAGTATGATGCAGTCAGAGATGAAAGTTATGATTCAAGCCATACATGAAGACATTAAGGAAAGAATAGGAAAAGTAGAGGTCAAAATAGAGAATCTTCAACAAATAATGACTAAAAATGAATGCATTCAGAAAGTATAAGAGAAAGCTGAACAGAGAAAACAGCGGAAGACTTAATCTGGCAGACAAAAGTCATGAGAAAACAATATCACTTGAGATGGATAAGGCTGATTATTACTTGCAGTTTCATAATATTGAGGAAGAAAAGTGAGAAAACCTGGCGGACCTTAATTTTTGGGGAGGAAAACAAGGAAAAAAGTATTCTGAACCAAATGGTGTAGTAATATATTATTTAATAAAATACCAGTATAGTAGAAT